TAACATTCAAAGCTAAATTAAGTACTATTTAAGTGCTTATGGGCACCTGTTGAGTGGGTAAAGTGTTTTGTAAATGGACACATTTTGTGTTTGAAGGTTTTCCATCATTGCTAGTGAACGCACTGTGTGTATACTTTGGGATGAGACCTTGCAACTCACTAGAGAGGAAAAGCCATTTCCCCCTTGAACTAATACATTCTTGTTGGTGTAAACTGCCAAGTCATACCACTCTTTAAGCTGGCTGCCACCTGAGCAATCCCTGCCATCTTTAAACATGATAGTAGAAGCTGTGTTGCTTCAGGCAATAGACTGCTCCAAGGACCAGTGATTCTCGAAACACATTCTTACCAAACTGGGGATCAGTTGGTTTGGCTGATATGAAAAACTAAAAACTAAATCAACCATTACCTTTAGCCTAAAAGTCTTCCTCCTGGAGGGGGTACAGTGCTCACATGCTCCATCTCTGTGATAATTAATGAAGTTGGTGCCCAATTTGAATTTCAATTTTCTAATTTTCCCAATCAGAAGATGCATAAATTTGTTTCCATAAACTAATCACAACTTTACTATGTGTCTACCTCACTGTGAGAGTTATTAAACTAATTAATCACATGCAAAACTGTCAAATATGATTCAGTGCCCGCTTTGTCTCTTTGATTAAATGTGAAAGATAAAGGTGGCTGCATGTGTGATTGTATTTTTTAAAAAAAAGACTGATAGAGAAGAAGAATGAAATCAAGAAATGTCAGTGTGCTTGAATGCAAAGTTGATGGCAAGCCTGTTTTTGCTACTTAAAATTCACTGTTGGAGGCAAAACAAAATTCTCAGCGCTGAAAGATGTTGATGTGATGCATTATGGTCCCTAAGATCAAATGATTCATGAAAAAGGACACATGGATGTCGTTTGATGGGGAAAACAAAACCTGAGATTTCACAGGAAGTTGCAAGTTACAAAAAATTAACAGGTGCTGGTTATTCAAGCCAACATCATAAAAATATATATAAAATATACAAAATACTCAGGTTGTGAGAACATTTCGATGCTGATGTTTATGTTAGAAATGTGTGAAAATGACCAACAAAAGAGGAAATCAAGTAAAAGGCTTCTCACAGAAGCTATAAAAAAGAGGACATAACTTCAGGAGATTGGTCTTACAGTTCTGCAAGGGATCATTACTTTTCAATCCAGTCTTCCAAGAAAAACCCTTGTGAAGCTCATCTTTATGAAAATATCTATCTTTTTTTTCTGTTTCAACATTTTCCTGTTTTTATATTATTCTTAGTTCGCATTTGCAAATCTATTAAAATGTTGATTCCTGTATTGTTTTTTGCTCTAATTTTTAATTTTAATGCCCTCCAATACAGTTTTCCGGGTCTCTTCATTGCATCTACCACAGTGTTGTTATCATAAGTAACAATCGTAATACTTGCATATCTTAATATTCTGAGGGAAACACAGAGTGAGTTTCTGCTAATTATTTCCCAGTAGTAGTTTCATGTATACAGCAAATTATTACTACGACCTTCATGAAACCATTTGATATTATGTGGATCAAGTTAAGATGTACCTACATTTAAATTTGCTATGTTCACAACTTAACAGTTATAGATTTTACCAGCATCTCACAATCCCATCATTCATCCATCCATCCATCCATCCATCCATCCATCCATCCATCCATCCAT